TACGTTGCGTTGCGTTTGTCGCGTTCTTTCGTTTCCTGTTCCCTGCAAAAAGCCGTCATGTTTCTTAGAATTCTTCTTTTCAGAACGCTTCTATTCACGAAACCTGCGACAATCCCCTTTTTCCAGTGTGGGATATGCTGTATTGCTAGTTGCTTCACTTCACTACTCGAACCACCGTTACTTGTTTCACATTCTCGACATGCAATGAACTACAAAAAAAGCCACCCTTTTCAACTTTCCTCCTTGACCAATATACGGTAGGCTTTTACGAGCTTCTGTCATTTTGTACGAGTTGGAAAAATGAAATTAGAAACTCGTAGCATAAAAGTGGGTCTTAATAGAGGAAAATTAGAGACCAGTACTCGATATTACAAGATAGAAGAGTAAAGAAAAAAAGGTTTCGATCAATCACGTCCCAAAACAAGTTAGTTAAGAACAAATAAAATCAAAACAAATTGTAGGAAGACTTACCATGCGACGAGGAACATAGAAGAAACAAAGAGGACAAGTGGCTCAAGAGCCCAAAAAGCCTCATTGCTGTCGAGAATGTGAAACAAGTAACGGTGGTTCGAGTAGTGAAGTGAAGCAACTAGCAATACAGCATATCCCACACTGGAAAAAGGGGATTGTCGCAGGTTTCGTGAATAGAAGCGTTCTGAAAAGAAGAATTCTAAGAAACATGACGGCTTTTTGCAGGGAACAGGAAACGAAAGAACGCGACAAACGCAACGCAACGTAAAGTGCAAATATCTGAAGAAACTGTTGCAAAGTAGTTATGTGATGATCGACAAATGACGTTCAAAACACACGACGTCAGAGGCCCAGCGAAAAGAGCGGTCTTTCCTAAACAAGGCGGGGCCACGGCGGACCCTGTCGGATTGCCACGCCTCCGACGCCAACACTACCACCGGCTACGTAGCGCGATCCATTAGGATGCAAATAAGGATGGCGAGAAGAATCTCTGCCAGAGTACTTGAGTGCCATGAGATCAAGAGAGATGGGAATGGAGATGTATTATCCTGGAAATCTGCCAGAGTAATATAAAATACTGATCAATGGTCAGAAATAAAAACCGTCTGCAAGTGCAACACTTCTGGAACACCAGAAAATGTTCACCTTTCTTTAATCTACTATGTAAACACGAAAAAGAACTAGGAAATGAAAAAAAGAGATAAAGGGGAAAGAACTAGAGTAGTAGTGATTACAAAGCTAGTACATCACAGTAATGTCAGACTGAATAGAAGAATGAGAAGGAAAGCGTTAGAAACTGAAAAAGAATGTCGTCAGTGCTTACTTCCTTCCACATCTATCTTCAGGTGAAAGTAAATAATGGAAAAAGATTTCAGAAATGTTTGCACTCGCAACAGAACTACGTAAGAAAAGGTAAGAACGCTACTACTACGCAGCTGCTGGGGAAAAAGAAACGTGCGCTGATAGAGGCAAACAGAAAAATAGAAATTGTGGGCACAAACAAAATCGTAATTGTGGAAGGAGTTGAGAGGAAAAATGACACAACTGAACTTATTTGAAACGTTCTAAGGGAAAGGGAGACCTAATAGGAGTAGACAGTGAAAAAATAACAAAGAAATGCGTTGATGTCACAACTCCTCAGTGAAGCTTGAGAAATAGACTTGAAAATATGAAGCCGAAGACTAAATGGTTTAGACATAAGTCGAGACAAATACAACGAAATTAAATTAAATAAGAAGTGAACCACATCATCTAGGCGTAGGAGATGAAAACAACTGACCCACTATAAAAAAACCACTTAAAATCTTCCTTACAAAGCTTCAAAGCC